CACTTGGCAAACTCGCCTTGTCCATATTGATGGTTGCTGGTCGGGAATGGAGAGTGTGCCTTACACCGTTTCAATTCCGAATTTGCTGAAATCGATATAGCTGCAGTGCAAATTAAATTTACATTTAATTCAAAGCGTCGAGTTACCTCAGTTTTAATAACTGAGTAGGGACTTTAAAATAGGTTAAAGCATAGATAAATAAACAATCAAACAATAAAAAATAGATTTGTATAGAGAAATAGGTATTACTTATTTTTCTGGATTTTAATATAGTTGAGAGGACTTCATTCTTAAAGTTTTACAGATTATTTGTCATATAAATGATGAACGTATTAAATATGTCTAATTGAAGATTGTGATTTAGTTTAAAACGATTTAAGCTAAATTTTATAAGCTCAATTTAGTTTCTTTGAACATTGTCGAACATCTCCAGACCTAAGGCAATTTTATTGTTAAACAAGTATCGAAAATCAGTCGAGCCGAAAAATTCGATACTCTTGTATGTGGACAACAGCCATAAATAATCCAAACGGACTTGACCTTCGATGGGTGCAGTGGAGGAGAAGCCATCGACATCGGTAGTATTTATTATGCGATGCTATTGATATTTTAAATAAATGTTCCGTGACATAGATAAAAAACATTTCAGCAGATACGGGCGCATTGAAGCTGGCATGTTGCTGTACTCGATCTGTGTTGTTTTTGCGTTGGGAATTGAGCTATTTTTTCTGACATCGTTATTGTCGCTATGCACCTGCCAACTGACCTTGTTTCTGTTATGTTTTTTTTGTTGTTTGTCGAATGAGAAATGCAGAAGAGGAAAAACCAACAAAATCGAATTTATTTTTTATGAAGACAAAATGGTTTTCAAGTCGCAGCTGCTCTAAGTCTGATTGCATTGGGAAGCATTGTTTTCAGGTAATTAAATAATCCAATGGCACGTGGAGCTGTGTTTCGGTAAATTAAATAGTACCAAGCTATTAGGATAATAAAGATAAATATAAATGTAAGGTGATTTTAATTATTATAAATTTTTACCAATATATGAAGTATGTGACCTGAACTCAGTGAAGAGTGATTGATTTATATGGCCTATTCACCCGTTTAAAAATTTAATTAATTTACATTATTCTTAGCCCAATTTATCTCTGCTTGTCAATCAGTGCCGTGTCCTGGCTCACATCCCTGCTCTAATCTCATCTTGGGCAGCGGTGAAAAGTCCATCAAGTGCGGCACTTAAGAGCACCGAATCCTCTTAAAGAATCCTCCTCCAGCTGCTTGTGGAAGAGCCGCTTAAAGTGCGAGTGCCGCGACGGGATGCGTGGATGCGTGGCGTTCACAAAGCGAAGGAGGAACAAGGACCCGGGGCACCGGTGTCCTGGGCTCCTCGTTCCCAGCTCGGGGCTCATTATTTCCCCGAGTAATATGCTAAAATGGCGCGAACACAGCACACATACAGAGGAAAGGCAGACGTCTGGCTGGAGGTAAAGCGTCGGGCTGGGAAATGTTTTTAATTGAAAGGAACTTGCGAGGCGTGCCTGCACATGGACATGGGAAAGTGGGGTGCCGGGAAAACTTGGCTAGGGTTAAGCACGGTGTCGACACTTTCCAGGCAGTGCGCCAGGTGGATGTCCCCGACAGACCTGTCACTGGCAAAATTGTTTTTAAAGCCCCACCTGGAACAGCTAATTTCCATTTGTTTTGCTTCAATTTCAGCTCTCTGCTGCTAAACTAATATTTGCACAATCACTCTGGTTTGACTTTAGCAAGTCAAGTGGATGCACAATCTGTTGGCTTTACTTATTCTTTACGGAAATAATGATTATACTAGGAATACCTGTATTATCTAGTAAATAAATATCATCTTAAAATATAAAATGGTTTAAATTGTAAGAGTTCTATTTTTTTTCTTAAATTTACAAATTTCGGCTGAACCAAGTAAGCTCCCCGTTTTTTCCGAACTGGCTGATTGCTTGCTAATTGCATGCCGTTTGCCGTACAAAGTGCTCCTAAAAAGTGGTCACTGCTACAATCCACTGTAATTTTCAGTGCGTTGCAGCCACACGCACAACCATAATCCCATTTACTTTGCAGCGGGTGAATTGCGTTAGCGGATGCTTCAAGTGGGTTCCTCGGAAAACGAGGAAATTCAATGGGCGCCCGCCGTTCCGAGTATTTTCCGCTGGAGAGTCAGCTCACAAATTGCGTATTTTTATGACTACCATTATGGAGACGTCTAAATATAACTAACGCAGCCGCAAAATCCGCGAATCCGCGAGTCCACGAATCCGCGTATCCGAGGCAAGCAGCCTGACTAACTGCCAGCCATAACACTTCAATCGCGGAATTACGACATTTATCATAATGCTTTTCACGAACAGAGTGGAAAAAGTGGGGGGCTGAGGGCGTGGCATGCAAATAATCCACTTGGCTGCTGCATGCATCGCCTGTTTTAAGTGTTCTCCTGGCTGCCTGCATTATATTTCTGCCAAATGCAAGGATAAGCAGGAGAAAAATAATTTATTAATTCGCTGTGGGAACTGTAAAATTTTGAGTTTATTTTCCAGTATAACCTGTGTAACATATGAACTAAAAGGGGTTATAAGACTCAATTAAACAGAAAGAGAATTTCTGGTTAGGGTGTAAAAGATACCAGTAAGTAGATTACTTTTGTAAATTATTTTACAAAAAAGTGAATTTTTAATTGCGAGCTGCAACCCTCGACATAAATGAATTTAATAATTTTATTAGACTTCAAGGTAGAGTGGCAATAACTTAAGAGTCGCACTTTAAAATGCAAAACCAAGCACTGTTTAATTAAAATTAAAAACCTCAATCAATAGTTTTTTTAAAACTTTATCATGGGTAATTGGATGTAAAAAGTCAGGCCAATTAGTAGGAGCTCTTTCAATGACATTACTGTTCCGACACGATGGCCCTTCATTTATCAAGTTGCATCCTTGGCTCAGTGTCCTTCTTCGATATCTCTGGCTGGCTGCAGCTGCCGCAAAACTTTTTAATGGTTAAATAAGCGATGTTGTCCAGTGTTTGTGCAGTTTGCCCGATGTCACTATACAGAAGCACCGATTTTTTACGTATTTGGCCACTTTTGGTCGGTAATTGGTTTTAAATGGCATTTGTTTAACTTGACAAAGTGAATTAATGCAGGATAAGGGCAACTTTTCCAGTGCTATTAATAATAATAATGAAAGCCATTTTAATATAAATATTACTTACCCTGGTTTTACTTTAAGTGAAATAAAACCACAGCTTATTTGGTTGTTTACATTACAAATAATTTTGATATTTATTGTTCAAGCGTGTAAATAAAGCTTTTTTGCACTTTACTCTTTGTTTCTTGGTTTTTTTGTTTCTTTGTAAATAAATTGCAATTAGATATAGTTGCAATAACATTTAAGTTCAACTTCTAAGTACCACGTACTATATGTATGTATGCATAAACTCCTTGGACTATTCCGAAGAGGGGATTAGATATTTTCGTACACGAATGTATCTCGTTACAGATTAAGATAGCTCCATGCCCTCCGACTAATTACGACTCTAGTTTACGATCTCAGCTCTACGCAGCCCTAAGTATTGGGTAGTACTCGCACATAAAAATACAGTTAACACTTTGTATTGCGGTTGTATATTGTAATAATTTTGTAGCTCACTTGTGTGCAACACATGCATCTCATTAGCCCATAAAAGTACGCGTTTCACAATAAACATATATATATATAAATATAATCCCTATATGTATGGTGTGTATATGTATTCGTTTGTCTCTCTATATGTAATTTAGAACTTATGTCACGCTTTCCCGTTGATAATATGTACAAGTCGTCATCCTTTTACTCGAAACTGCTTTCGAAGGAAGAACATTACCTATGTCTTACTCTACTTTCCATTAAGTTATGATCTATACTCGATAATGTCTTACAATGTAAGTTTGTTAAAGGATGTACAAGGTTCCGGAAACTGATAGGAAAGGATAGCTAACTTTAATAACGCTAGTCAACAGGGGTTATAGATTTCTATTAGAATGTTCTAGATCTACAGTTAAGTTTGCGTAAACTCAATTAAAATTGTATCACCCATATAAATGTAGCTTAAACGACGGATAATAATTTAGAGTTTGAGTACCTTATCCCAATAAAACTTTTTTTCAATGTTAAAATCTGTGTTCTGGTTTACGCCACTTACATTCTGTAGGAGAAGACTAAATTAAATATTATTATTTATACACACTTTGACCGAAAATCGGCTAATACTCTATTTTGGTATACAATCTTGCAGCAACAATGAGTTGAAGCTGTTTTAGCTTTCCATCCAAGAAACAGAAAACCAAGATATACTTTTTCTAAAGCCCTTTTTCAAATTAATTTTTAAAAACAAAAAAAAAAAGTCTGGGTTACACTCAAACGAAGGGCAGCCATAAATATTTTATTTTAATTTTTGTGTGGTGTTTATTTATTTGTATTTTGACCGTAACATTTGATTTACCTACTTAAGGAAAGTAACGACTTACATCAATAGTATGGAAACACTTTTATAAAGCTTGTGATCAATCTAAGTATGTTTCTGTATATATGGCATTCGGACTATGCGTATTCTATGGTAACAAGTACATCTAACATTAGTTTGGTTAAACTTTATTTGTCTTCATATCGTTATGGGAAGATTAAAATGGCGAATGTCCGGAGCATTGTGTTCTGAAACTTAATCTCGCCAAGGTGTTGGGGGAGGGGGTTCTAGTTAGTTGTGGAATGTATATTAGTTCAATATCAGCTTTGGACCCAAAAGTGCGGTTTTCACATTACAAGCTCACGATGTCCTACACTCAGAATGAAATCTTATTTGAATTTTAGAAATTCGCCTTTAGTTTTAGACAGTTTTTAAATACAGCATAACAAATCAAATAATTTTAAATTAATTGTCGAATTAATGGATTATTAAAAAGGTTTATAAGCTTAACTCTTTTTTTGTCAAATTTTTAAAAGATTATTGTAAGTTGTTCTAGAAATAAATAAAACTTAATCGAATATGACAAGATATATTTATTCATTAGAAATACTGTCTTTAGAGAAAATAGCTGTATATCCTTTAGTAAGACCTGGGAAAAACAAAGGCGATTTCCTAAATGTATTTTATATGGGAGTGCTCTGGGTAAATTGTGACGGATCTATTGGTAAGTACATTCTGCGGCTTTATGCTTCGGCGACCCAGTCCACATCAGACGTCCGTTTCGGTGCTCGACTGGTTGTGATTGGATGTGGGCAGCGGCGTCTGGTGGGAGAGCTGCTTCTGCAGCGGGGGCGGTGGCAGGCCCTGACCTTGACCTTGACCCTCCTCGTGGGGCACCAGCAGGGGCAGCGATTTCTGCATGCAGACCACTCCCGGCGATTGGTGCTGCGATCTCGGGCTGGGCGGCGTGGGCGTGGCCGGGATCTGGTGCCAGTTAATACTGTTCTGGGAGGTTATATTCCGGGTCTTGCGCAGCGGCGGATTCTTCGTCGACGTGGAGAAGGCCATGCCGCGGCGCAGAGGAACTCTACAGGAGCCACGGGAACAACATTAGCAACGGTGGGTCAGTTGGTTGGTTGGTTAGTCGATGGCGATGGCGATGCGGCGCAGGATGTGGGTTATGAGAGTTCAGGATCGAGCATGAGGACACGACGCAGTATTATATTTTTTTCATTTGTTGTTTGGGGAGAGGACGACAAAGACACAGGTTATATAGACACGGGTTACACACAATCAGACGTGGGCACTAAGGGGGGCTCTAATCTCTGGAGACACTCACCTCGTTGGACTCGGCGGCGGGTAGGAAATGCCGCGGTGACTGGGCGACAACAACATATTGCCCGAGTGGCTCGTCGTGGAGCCGGGCACGAGCAGAGTATTGTTACTACAAGTAGGACAAAGGTTATACTGTAAAGAGCACGCTGGCGGATTTGGATCCGGTTTCCGGAATCGGGGGAAGCGGAAACGCAAGCGGTGGGCGGTGACAGTAAAAGGATAAGAGTCGTGTTGCCCCTAACAAAAACGCATTGCAGCAATCGCAGAAAACAAATAAAAATAAAGAGAAGGACGACAGCTTCGGAAACCGAAGTATAAAATACCCTTGCATAAATAAGAAAAAATTGTAAATAATAAATTTTGTAATATAAAATTGAAAAATTTAAGAATGAAACCATATTAAATTGAATAGTCTTTAAACGTTTTTGGTTGATAAACTGATAACTGATAAAACGATTTAGGAAAATACAGACGGACATACAAAGTATTAAAGTAAAACTTCTGTAGCGCTTAAATTATTTTCATCAATCAAGGGTATTTTAAAATTTAAAATTAGCACAAATGAAATTTGGTGTAGCAGGTGATTAGGGGCTGTCCATATATTACGTAATCACGTTTTTGCTGATTTTTGACCCCCTCCCCCCCTTGGTGATCAAACGTAATCTTTCAATAAATACCCCCCCAATGATTACGTAATCTCAAGAATAAAATTTTTTTTGTTTTAATATGTGGATTCAAACAGAGATGCAACCCAATCTTTAATATTGTTTATAAATGGAGTTTGGTATGACACTTTCGGTTCGTATACGCTGAAATTATCTCCAACATACTCTTCGTCAAGCCATTCCAGGTCTTCGCATTCTTCGTGTGATTGAACCACTAAACATTCTCTTTCTCGCCGCCCAGCCACTAAAAAAATTTTTTCTCTGCTTTCCTATCTAAGTTTGCAGATATATTTAAAGAAAAAAAGTTTTTAAAAAAATTTTTTAAATAAAAAAATACATATAAAATGATTACGTAATCATTGTGCAAGACCCCCCTCCCCATGTAATCAAACATAATCATTTCAATGACCCCCTCCCCCCTAGGTGATTACGTAATATATGGACAGCCCCTTAGTCATGATTCCAACGCGTACATTTCACAATAAAAATATTTATTTAGTTGGTTCGATTTTAATATATAAAATATGACTACAGTACGTACTAGCTAAAAACAGTGTATAAATATGATGACTAAATGTAGAGTATGGTACAACATAAACAGAGTGAATCTGAATCCGATCCCTGGGAACGCTCACACGTGACTGGACAGGGGATCTGATCTGTGATCTGATGATCTAGTGATCTGGTGATCGGGAGATGAGAGTGGTTGTGGTGGTGTGTGCTTGCTTGATTTTTTGTTAGAAGCTCTTTTGTCATGGTCAGTGGCGGTGGTGCACCCTCTACGCAACTTACGTGTGGCTGTGATGCATGTTCAGGTTGGGCAGGCTCTGGCCCAGATGGTTCATCGGCTGCACGGAGAGCGTGTTGGCCGACTTGGAGCCCATCTGGCCGATAATGCCCATTTTAGTCTTGTGCAGGCCACTGATCAATTGCTGCTTGCCCTTCAGGTTCACTCCGTGGTTGCCTGTAGAAGTGGATTAAAGTAAAGGGTATTACATTTAATTAATATAATTTAATTTAATTAGTTTATTTAAATAAAAAGTTGTTTTGAATTATTCGGAATTTATATAGGTAGTTGACCAGGAAAAGCTGCCTAATACTATTAACATAGCACAAAAATATCACATAAAATTAAAAATATTTCTTCCAATTGGAAATTAATATAAATTTTAGTAATTCTCCTGCTTTTAACAAATGTTTTCCGACTTTTGAAATCTAATTTGAATTTTCTCTTGAAATTTAGTTAAAATAAATTGGAATACTGCAATTTAAATTGAAAATTTGGTTTAATTTATGATTTCAATTTAATGGATTTTAGGACTTTTATTTTATTTGGTATACCACTTTGTATATTCTTTGTTTAAAAAAAGGTTGGTAGAGCTACATCCTCAACTATCTAACTTCCTATCCCCTTTAAGAGTTTATTTTTTCGGTACGCACCTGTCATTATGCTGGAGCCCTCGTCGCTGGACACCGAGTTTGTCTTTTCAAAGTCGACGGATATGTTGCGCGAGTCGTTCCACTCGACACTGCCGCTGTGGCTGTTGTTCGCACTGGAGACGTGGCTGCAGATCGAGGAGTTCATCGGTGACTTGCGGACGCCCAGGGAATCGGCGGTGCCGCCGCTGGTGCCACTCCCACCGAACCGGAAGCTATCGCCGCCCACCGTGCCGCTTCCGCTGCCGCCTCCTGCGCCGCCGCGCTTCAGTCTTTGGTAGATCGTCTTGGCCCGCCACATGGCGTCGTACCAGTTCTTGGCCTCGGTGCACTGCAGCGTGAACGCCGTGGTGGCCACCTGGAACTCGTTGAGGTACACACAGTTCAGCGTATTGTTCGGCGCCAGCTGAACGATTAGCTGGTCGGTTAGGTATGGTTGCCGTATGACCTTCAGGGCTCCCAGTCCCCGCTTGGCAATCGTCTTGCACACGAGCAGGAGGTCGGTGAGCAGGAAACAGTGCACATCGGACTTGCCGAGGTTGTCCTTGAACTTGTGATCGCCCTCCATGAACAGGTGGCGCACATGGTAGGCGGGACATCCGCGCATCGGGGCACAGAGGTCAAACATCTGGCTGTGCTGCTTGATCAACTTGTCCAGCATCTCGTTGTTGGTGTCCTGTAATCCCGAAAATTTAAATTACTTAACATGTATTTCGGATTTAAATATTTTCTTCTAAGTTTAACATTAAAAAATAAAATAATGATAATAAATATGATTCATGTTTAAATCAGATATTTCAAAAGTTCAAAATCAATTCATATTTATAATGATATGTTAAATTCTTTAGTACATTTAACTAACTCCTTAAATACCTATTTATTAAAATTTAGAGAATTTTGCTTGATTATTTAATTCTTATATTTTTGAAAATATTCTTAAATTTATAGGGCGAAATCTGATTACTCACCACCACATCGTACGACTCGATCCGCACCATCACGCCCTTGAGCCGCTCGTTCTCCTGCCGCATCGTCAAGTGGTTGTTCACACTGCCCACAAAGTTCTCCACGCTGTGCATCATCACGTCAATGGCCTCTATCTCCTCCACGTCGCTCATGTGCTTCTTGATCGCGGCCAGGAGGAGGCTGTACTTGGTCAGTCGCTGCATGGGTCGCACCACAATGTCCGCGAGTCGCAGGCGGTTGCACATCTTCTGCGACTCGCACCACGCCAAATAGGATGTGAACAGGGGGTTGTTGTGGTTCAGCTCTTTGCAGTAGAACTGGCAGGTGCTCTGTTCCGCACAGTAGATCTGTAGATAGGTATTTAAAATAATACCTATTGCATTCAAAACCTATTAGTTTTTAGAACCCACCTTATATGGCGCAAAGATGGAGGCAAAGCCAATGAATCCCTCCTGGAAAAAGGCGCATCTCAGCGGTTCGTGGGTGATTATGCTATGTGCCACCATGGGATAAAGCCACAGGGTCCAGAACTTGATGTTCGCCTCGCACACAGCCCGCACATTGGAGAACAAACGAGCCTGATCCACATCGATCAGCAGACGCTCCTCCTGAACGGCCTCCAAACAGGCCAGGAATAACTAGAAATATATTATAACAAGTTAGTTATTTCTAAAGATTCAAATAGAGATCTTAACCACCCACCTCAGTCACTGTTTGCAGGGCGTGAATGTAATACACCTCGGTGGTAACCAGCTCCCAAATGGCCGTCTGGATCTTAATCTCCGTCTCGCTCATCGCATCACTCTCCACAAAGTCGCGCCACGACTTGTGCATATCCTGCAGGTAGGCCAGTGAGTTGACCAAGTCCGGATGATCAAAGTTCATGCTATCCGGACGCTGGGGCACTCCGTTCTTGGCATAGCTGTTCAGCAGCTCGCACAGCTGACTCTGCTGGGGATTCTTGATCCCGAATATGGAAGACCACCGCTGCTTGATCTGCTTGCCGGCCGCCACTCCCGACTCGCTGGTCTCCTCGGTGGAAACGGAGGGCAGCAGTCGGGGCGGGGGTTGTCGGGAACCCTGTAGGAAAATTAAAAAAATAGTATTAAATAATTTTAATGATTATAATCATCAGTTGAATATTATTTAAATGTATTAGAATTTAATTCTTAAATATGGTATTAAATTTTATTTTACTTTTAAATTTATAAGTGACTTTTAGATTAACTTTAAGTACCCACATGCATTTTATTTTAGCTAATATAATATTATATAATAATAATTATTATAATCATCACTTAAAATTCATTAAAATGTATCAGAATTTAATTTTCAAATATGGCATTTAATTTCATGGGACTTTTGAATTTAAAAATGGCTCGTAGATTAGCTTTAAGTTCCCACATGCATTTTATTTTAGCAAAGATAAGGTTACATACACCCCTGTCAACTTTCAGTTCTGCCCACAAAATGTGAGAACCCCTATTCCATTTCCAGGGAACCCAGTAAACTTACAAAAGAAGCTGCCTTTTGCAGGGGCTTGCGGTTGCTGCCCCGTTCGGTGATGCAGAGATGGTGTCCAGCCAGGCTCTCCACATCGGTCTGCTCATCCACGGAGACGGGAAGGAGCGAAGGACCTGTATGGTTGGGGGAAACAAGCCCGAAATGATAACGAATCCGGGGGAATTCTACGTAAACGACTTACCGGCATCTAAAAAACTGGGCGTGGGATTATTGTCCGTGATGGTGATTTGTGTAAAGCTGAGGTTCCGCCTACGCAGGGCGTGGCCGAGTGCGTTACTAAAAAAGCGTATTCGTTATATATATATTTTTTTTAGTTATATCTAGTGGGGGATGTCAAAGGACTTACAGTAGTGTTACGCCTTTGGTAGCGGGAATAAACTCCTCATCTGGATGCTGCGACGATTCCAGGCAGAATGACACGGAGAAGAACTCGGAGCTGGATACCTAAACGAGTTAATAATTGGAAGTTTAGTAAGGGATTACGTTGACTTTTGGTCTACCACTTCCTGTTGATGGAGAACCTAATCTGTAAATTCAAGAGCCTTTTAATCTGGCCTTCAAAGGGCCCACAAAGAGGTTCACACTGACAAAAATTGCGATTTGCGACTACTGACTGCCAGAGCACTCTCTTTGATGGCCCTCCGAAGTGTGAAGATTGCATCTGTGGGAGGCCGTGATGGAAAATCCCTGCCAGCCCACAAAAACTACTACTGAAATAAAACAAACATCAAGAAATATTCCCCGTATTTGTGTTGGCGGGAAACGGGGCGGAATTCTTCGCTTGGCAAGTGACAGAAACCGAAGAAAGGAAAGGAAAGTAAAATCATGGAATGGAAAACGGGAAAAGGGAGACAGGAGAAAGGAAAGCAGGGAAAGTTCTACAACAACTTTTGCTGATTAAGGCGACAAAGGCAAATAAAGAAATTAAAAATGTATATTCCCCTCATCCTTTTGCCCCGTCCAAAAATTGGTCTCAGCAAAATTCACCATCGTTTGCAAGCACTCGTTAATTGCAGACTCATTTCGAAGGAACATTCAGGTGACAAGAGGACCTTCTGATTGTGCAGCCATTCGAGATCTGCTCAATCCCAGAGCAGCTTGTCTTTTGACCAGGTGATTCTGTTTGTTCTTTGGGATTCAGGACTCAGAACTCAGGATTCCCACTCACCTCGCTGCGCGTCAGCAGTGGCTTCTTGCGCTTCATGAACGAGGATTTCTTTTTCACCGCCGAACCCGAGGACGTGGAGCAGCCGACGGGGGAGGTTAGGCCACCACAAGCACCACCAATGCCACCACCTCCCGAGGCAGCCGATGTGGTGCTGTAGGGACTCAGGGTCGAGGAGGACGAGGTGGCCACCACTTCGCCAGCGAACTGAAAGTGTTTGGAGGAGGGTATCGCATAAGTTGCCGTGGTGGAGGTGCCGGTGCCAGTGGTGCTGCCGCTGCTAGTCAGTTGCTGGTGGTTTTGCTGACTCTGATTCTGATTCTGGTGGTGGTGCTGGTGGAAGGATCCGGCACTGGAGTGACCGGTGCCAAAGCAGGACGAACTGGCCGTCTTCGTGGTCTCGTCGAGCGTGGGTGAGAGCATCAGCGAAGGCGTACGCCGCACGATCTGCGGTGCCTGGGTGTAAATTGTGGGTGGGTGGTGCGGTGGGTGAGCTTGGGAGGCTGTTGGTGGTGGTGCCGAGGGAGACAGACAAACGCTCCTCGGTTCACCCTTTTCAGTCTGCGATTTTTATTGTTTTTTTTTGGGTTTGTGATTCAGCGTGTTTTTTTTTTAAAGCGGTCAGCAAACAAATAAAAACCAAAGTTTATTAAGCCCATTTATAGAGACAGAGTGAGAGGGAGAGATAGAGAAGGAGAAAGAGAGAGAAACAGAGAGGAGAAGACAGATATTGTGAGCATATTTTGTTTGGTGATTCAATGGTTCTACACTCTATATAAACCATAGAGCCTACTCTACTGTGCAAGTCTTCTAAAAATGGCCAATTTTTAAGCAACTTAGCTACCAAATATTGAAATTAAAAATATTATAAAGTGCGAGTTTAAATATCTTATATTATAGAATTACTTCAAGAGCAAGTATTTTTATAAATTTAAGATTTTAGCGACTTCTTCTTAGGACAAGTATACCATTTACATAAACATTTTGATGGGTCACACTACAAACAAGAAAGGAAGCTAGCTTCGGCCAGCCGAAGCTTATATACCCTTGCAGATCATTCCTATTAATTAACAAATCGCAAAAATGTTCAATTTTCTAATATTTCTCATTAATTTTCCGCTCGTTCCTATGGCAGCTATATGATATAGTCGTCCGATTTTGATCAAATTAAAATTGAAATTCGGAAATATTTAAAAAGAGTCATATCCTAGAGTAGAAGATAATACAATAAAAACCAAAGAAGCTAGAATTTATTTCCTATTACTTTTCCATTAATTTTCCGATCGTTCCTATGGAAGCTATATGATATAGTAGTCCGATTTTTTAAATAATTAATTCGAAATTCAGAAATATTTAAAAAATAACATCCCCAAAAGTAGAAGGTAATATTTCAAAAAACACCGAAGCCAGAATTTTTTAAAGTTTATTTTTTCCGATTGTTCCTATGGGAGCTATAAGATATAGTTGTCCGATCCGGTCGGCTCCGACATATATACTACCTGCAATAGAAAGAAGACTTTTGCGAAAGTTTTGTCCCGATAGCTCCAAAACTGAGAGACTAGTTTGCGTAGAAACAGACAGACGGACAGACGGACAGACGGACAGACGGACGGACGGACGGACAGACGGACAGACGGACAGACGGACATGGCTAGATCGACTCGTCTTGTGATGCTGATCAAGAATATATATACTTTATGGGGTCGGAAACGTCTCCTTCACTGCGTTGCAAACTTCTGACTGAAATCATAATACCCTCTGCAAGGGTATAAATATATCTTATAAAACTATTTATTCTGGTTGCCAAATAAAAGTATAGAAAACAAGAAAGGAAGCTAGCTTCGGCCAGCCGAAGCTTATATACCCTTGCAGATCATTCCTATTAATTAACAAATCGCAAAAATGTTCAATTTTCTAATATTTCTCATTAATTTTCCGATCGTTCCAATGGCAGCTATATGATATAGTCGTCCGATTTTGATCAAATTAAAATTGAAATTCGGAAATATTTAAAAAGAGTCATATCCTAGAGTAGAAGATAATACAATAAAAACCAAAGAAGCTAGAATTTATTTCCAATTAAATTTAAATTAAAATTTTCCATTAATTTACCGATCGCTCCTATGGCAGCTATATGATATAGTAGTCCGATTTTTTAAATATTTAATTCGAAATTCAGAAATATTTAAAAAATAACATCCCCAAAAGTAGAAGGTAATATTTCAAAAAACACCGAAGCTAGAATTTTTTTAACGTTTTCTTTTCCGATTCTTCCTATGGGAGCTATAAGATATAGTTGTCCGATCCGGTTGGTTCCGACATATATACTACCTGCAATAGAAAGAAGACTTTTGGGAAGACTTTCATCCCGATAGCTCAAAAACTGAGAGACTAGTTTGCGTAGAAACAGACAGACGGACAGACGGACATGGCTAGATCGACTCGTCTAGTGATGCTGATCAAGAATATATATACTTTATGGGGTCGGAAACATCTCATTCACTGCGTTGCAAACTTCTGACTGAAATCATAATACCCTCTGCAAGGGTATAAAAACATAATTTTAAAAAGTAAAATGTAATTACTAAACCATACGTTAAACCTCGATTAAATTAAAACCGGCCAACTAAAAATAACGAGATACAAATTCAAGAAAGGGCGATATAAATGGTCCTTAAAACGCAGAAAAGTCACGTTCTGTTTAAAACTGACAACAAAAGACACGGCGAAGTCTTCCGAATGACTTACAGTTACAAATAGTTAGTGCGCAGAAAAACAACTGACTGTGCTTAAATCAATGACAGCCACACGAAGAGCAGGAAATATAACTAAAAAATCAAAATAGACACAAATCAAAGGCAGACGAAAGCAGCAAGCAAAGTAATTTGTTATCAATTTGCGAGAGGGCTTTCTCTCGAGGGACTGAAACCCTGGAATAGCGAATCTATAACTCACTACACTGGACACACTACACGCGGAATAACTACAATCTAAAATCAAGATTTTTCCACAAGAGATTTTTAGATTGTAAATTTATTTACATTTTTAATATTATTTAATTTAAATTTTTTTCCATGTAGATTTATATTATAGCATTACAATTAAAAGTTCCTTTATTGCGGAATGGATATGCTTTAAAATTAATTATCTATTATTTTCTATGAACAATTACCATTTAAATAAAATTCATTTTCTTTAATGAATAAATTCTCTTGATTTTAGATCGTAACTTTTCCCCCAGTGAACACACTCTAGGCAAGATGGATGTGCCGACTAAGTGGCCAAGTCCTATAGCACTTGGCCGGTGGTTTATTTAGCATGTGCTCCTTAGGACCCCTGACCCCTAACCCTTGACTTACCACATTGGCCTGCCGGCCCAGCGATCCTGGTGGTCCGGTGGTGGCGAACAGTCCGGTGGTCGCGGTGGTGCTGCCGACGGCGGCGGCGGTGGTGGTGGTGGTGGTGCTGCTGGCCATTCCCGGAGGTCCGTGCTGGCAGGCCACCACACCCGAGTCGAGGCCATCCAAGTGCGTGAGACTCTTCGATTTCAGCTGCAACGGGAAATGGAATCGAAATCTGTCTGTGAGTCTGGGCGAAATCATTCAAGCGTGACGCAGATATTTATAATTAAATTTTATTCGCGTTATTGAGGGCTTTTCACATATTGTTTTTCATATGCTATCACCCGTCGGTTGGATGGCGTTCGAATAAAAAATGCAATTTAAATATAAGCGGATGAAGTGTTGCCTTTTATAGATGCATGAAATTACTAGATGCATTACAAAATATTCAATGAATGTGAGATATAAAATAACAGATTGTCATATAAAAAAAGGCATTTTGATTAAATTAAGAAATTACCAAATAAATAGTTAAACCACTAGCTGTTAAAATTCTTTATAAACACAACTTTTATTTGTCACATTTTTTTAATACACCAATATGTCTGATTTTTTACTTGATCATAAATCCACAACTATTCTGGACAGCTCTTTTTAGCTCTTTTCTCCCGGTTTATAAGCTATAAAAAGCCCGGATACGCTTTTGTATATATTTTAAGATGCTTTCGGAAATGTATTGTGTTGCAGGCGACCTTCGGGGTAGGACGCAAAACTGACACAAAGCCATCAAGCCACTGCATCCAAGGGACTGGGATGGAGCCACATCGAATTACTGAATATTTCGCGCTTAATGCAGAGAATAATGTTTTGAATGCTTTTGGCGCCGGGCGTCGCGAGACAATGAAAAGCTCAGTGCATTTGCCGGGCAAAAATAAATTGCTTGCGGCTGGGTGGCAAACTGGATGGCGAACTAGATGGCAACTGGGTAACTTGACGAGGGCGAGGGCATCTTGGCAAAGACGAAAAGATGCATCGAGAACAAAAAGATTGCGCCAGCGGCAAAGAGCCCTAGACGTGTCCTCGAAGGTTTCCTGTCCTCGCCTAATGCACCGAGATTACATCAGTCAAGTGCCCCCAGCTGGCCGAGTGAGTGGTGAGTGTGGACGTGGACCAAAGTCAGGGTCCGCCTCAAAGTCAATGCCTCACCCATCAGCCATCGTCCTTTGTAAGGAAACCACCCCATGCCGGCTGCGATTTACACATCTCAATGCCTCGGTTTAAATTGTGCTTGACGAAAAACCTTGTGTTTAAATTCGCATTAACAGCAGGAAAATAAAGGGAAGTACTTTTCTAGACATTTTATGCCCGACTTTTTGAAAGATAATATTTTTTAGGTTATTAGTATATAAAGACTAGTTATGAAACCATAATTGGTAAGTATTTTTTATTTATTTTAAAAACCTAACAATTTCTCAGGACAAACTCTATAATAACCTCAAAATGTTACATAAACTCTTCAGTAAAATCTTGTAAACATCGTTTGTTGTGGTGCTGGTTAATTACCACAGAATTTCAGGGAACACTCCTTGTCATAATCTCAGCTATTTCAGATTCACTTCAATTGGATTGCTCCGCATTGCCGAGACACCGAGTGGAGAAGGTATCTGCCCCCTGAATCCAGGGTGCGGCATGCATGGCATCCGAGCTGCGAGAATTTAAGCTCCGGGACGGATGCCATTCACAGCCCCCCGATGCCGCTAATCCCAAGACCAGGACCACCGACTCCCCCGGAGTGCGCCCAAGGATACGGGCTCTCTGGTCTATTATTCCTGCTGACGACAATATTTCACATTCTGTTTTGGCAATTTCCAGCTGGCGGCCCTCACCCTGCGACGGTTTGCCTTGCCCTTTGCCCTGGTTTATGTTTTTGTTTCCGGTTATATTGTGAGTTGCTCGCCCACTGCGGCTTGGTTTACTGTCTGCCGGAATCGCACAAGATTCGGGTATATTGGGCTATATAAGGGGTAGCTTAAAACCAAAATATTACAGGAAAATTTTTTGAAATCGTTTACAACTTTTGATCAGCTTTTGCTTTTAAAAATATTAAATCTGAAAAAATAAATCTGCCTTTAGTTTCCAATAAAGAAATAAAAAAAGGATAATTATATTTATTATTTAAAGGATATCCCAATATTGATACACTCACTTAAAATAGCCTTTCCCCTTTGACTCTTTGGTCTTTTGGCTTAGTTTGGCCTTTAGCTTCCCACACACAAAACAAAAAATATTCAAGAGCAATTCATACTCGTAGGTTCTCATAAAGCGAACACTTTACCATTGTGGAAACCCGGCTAAGGAAATAATAGTTCTGATTGTTTATTCTGCGTAGGAAGAGTGCAATGCGGCATTGCATAATTCACTATTTTATCCTCTTGCACGTACAATGTTGCCAACACGATTATCTAATCACTTAAAGACTTCAACACGTGTGGTCTGCCCACGGAATTTCCCTGTTAACGTGGCTACTTAAACGGGACAGCGTTTGAAAAAAGGAAACATGGTCCACATGACACGTAACATGGAAAATCACTTTGGGACTTAAGTCGAACACTCCGGGTAATTTATACTTCCTGTGCTAAGAAAACCGAATACCAAAGTAAGGGATATTTCCCAAAGGGAGTCCAAGAAATTCGAGTTAAATTTCAAGAGCCGAGATGTTGCCTACATATTGTAAACACAACTCAAGACAAGAAAGCTTATGGTTCGCCTCAAAATCCCTGGCATTTGCGTTATGCTTATGTTTTCCTGTTTATTTCATTTAGTTATTTTCGCATAATTGTTTTCGTTTACGTGTAGGCACTCATCCTCTTTCGCTTGCCTTTGAAGAAAGCCTGCCACTAATAGGATTAGATTTTGTAATAAACGAACAAATTATGATTCCGACTAAGGAGTGGCCTATTTAGATGCCCGGAGGCAGCCGAGAGATTTGTCCGTAAATGCCAGCTCGTACGAAAATATTTGCCCGCCTCAGTGACGAAATGATGATGATAATCTGAATAGATATGTATATATAGAAAGCCACGGTTTCGCCAACAAAACACTGCAATGCTATTCGAAATGGGGGCATCGTTTTCACAGCATTTTGTCGGCGCTCTAGGACCTGGGGGATCTCCCATTGTGGGCTGGACAAATCGCTGATGCAATTTATTGCTCGACTGCACTTGCGCTAATGCCTCTAAATATCTTCCGGCGACAATTGAATTCCCCCCTCGCACATAAGCACACACATTAGTTTCTAGGCAAGCACACACTGCGTATACGTAATGTATATTAGTCTGTGTTATAATATTTATGAAATCCATGGCGGTCAGAGTCATTTATTGCTATTCCATTCAGGCATAAAATCCTACGGCAAACTGAATTTATGCACCACATTAAATGCTCACGTATAAGAATAATTTAGTTTTGAATAAGCTTATCACATGGGCTTTCAGCAAATTAAATGACTTTTTGATAAAATAAAAAAGTCAAATTTTGAATAAGTCATGGCAACCTCTAGAACTAAGAAACTAAAATACGTTCACTGAACATACACAGAGAAATGTAAATGTTTACTCCCATTCTGTAGGATGCCTTGACTTTTTTAAAATTTGACAACATTTAGGAGTAGATAATGAAATAAAAAAAACGGTTTTATTAGTATAAGAAATCCAATAAAATGTTCTCATGAAAACGCTTTAAACCGAAATTAAAGCATACAATGAACAATAGATACAATGAATAGTTAAAATTACTTCCATTGAAGATTTAATCCTCAGAATTGTTTTTCCATCAGAAAAAGCTCTACAATTTTGGGATTTTCAACTTTGGCGTCGTATTCCAAAGACATGGGCAATGGTTCACAATGGGGACTATTTTTTAGGAATGCCTTGATGTATTGAGAGTAGGTCCTACCGAAAATAATAAAGGTTGGTCCAATTATATAGGCCACGTAATTCAAAATGTCGGCAAACATCGGTTTTTTGTATTCTTAGCTATACCGTGGAACCTGTAGGTGATGGAAAATAATTTTGTATGGGACTTTTACTCAGGAGCACCCAAATATCATGGAAAACTTGAAATGGTTCGTGGAAATTTCACAAAGTTTAATTTTGTGTTCCTGTGTAATCAATAGAATTAATCAACACAAAGTAAATTAATGTCACAATCAAAGCTTAAAATATTAAAGAAAATTGTTACCATTTTCTTATTATTTTTTAAAAAAATTAATTAAATTTCTATTTACACTTTCTACAAAAAATCATTTTATAAAAATATAACAAATTAAAAAGATTTTAGGCATTTTTATGTAGTTTCAAAAGATCTTTTTCCCCAAAGATGAAACGAAATGGCTTTATGCTATATGTAGTAAAAATAAAGTTTAAAAACAAGTTTGAGGGAGCATTAAATAATTTATAGGTGTTTAAGGATCTTCGTCCATAACGTCGGCTGTAAATTTTGTTTCGCTGTAATTCTGTAAATTAATATCCCAACTTAAAACACAAAGAAGGGCATGAAACCAGAATAAAAAGGAAGAACAGAAGGAAATAAAACAAAAATACGAGCGTACATAAGAGTGGAAATATGTTTATTCTCATTTCGCTAAGTAAACATTTGATTAAGGCCGCGCGTAATTTGTTGACCACCACGTGTCGCTCCGAATTTTAAATCCAGTTTCCGCGAAGGACTCAGACTCAGACTTACCTGCAGCTTGCTGTTGGGCGGCGAGACGACCAAGCAGATCTTCATGGTGGCCCGCAGGAACTCCTCGCGCTTTGTGCTAAGGTCAGGGGTCAAGGAGCCCGGCGACGTCACAGCCGCCTGTTTGTGCGGCGCCTTCTTGGGCGACGTAACGCTGGGCAGGAATGGATTGAGGCTCCTCACCAAACTGGCCGAATTGAACTTGCCACCGGAGGAGCCTCCTCCCTCATTGCTACTTCCGCCGGATGGAGGCGATCCACTCTGCTGCGCCGGCTGCTCCTTCTGGTGGTGCAGCAATCGGGTGGGTGAGTTCAGGCTAAACAGCTTCCTCCGATGCCTGCCCGGCGTGGAGGAGGAACTGGAGGCGGGACTGGGCGTGGGACCAGGCGGTCCTCCTCCCTCGCTGTGCGTCGACTCCTGCGATCCGGCTCGACTGTACGAAGGCGTTGGCAACTGGGCGGAGCGGGTGCCATACTTCTGCCCACTCCCGTCCAACTGGAGGTCATCTGTGGTGGAGTCACCACCACCCTCCACTGCTCCATCTTCGCTGTAGGTGCTGTGATACGTCCTGGCCGTGATCTCCGGCAGAAAGGGATTATTGGGCGAGGTCAGGGTGTACTGATAGTAGCCACCTCCTCCTCCTCCGCCACTGCTGCTCGTCTCCACCGGCAAAGTGCCGGCCTCCGTCTCATCGGGTGTGCTCTCCTCGGGAAAGGAGCCGCCCTGGAAGTCATGGCCACCGCCCACGCCACTGCTGCTCGACAAATAGGCACCCAGCTGCTCCCACTCGCCCGAGGAGGAGTTGTGCGAGGACACGGTGAAGCCCTCGTTCGAGTGGCCCTGGCAGCTGCGGGAGCTCTCGTTGCTGCTCTTGAAGAGGAAGTTCTGCAGGCGGGTCAGTCGGATGGAGCTGCTCTCGCTGGTCAGGCTGCAGCTCCTGCTGCTGTTCCCAGGCTGAACAGCCGAGGAAGTAGTAGTGGTTACAGCCTGTTGATCACTTCGATTGCTGCTTTGGGTCTCCAGGCGTCGTCTATTCGGGTTATCAATGGGTAATCCTCCTGCTCCTGCTCCTCCACCTCCTCCTGCTGCTTCTGCTGCCCCCGCCGATGTGCTCACCTCGCCACCCATGGAGGCCCAATAGAAGACACTGTTCTGGGAGCCACTCAGCTCACCCAATTCGCAGCTGCTCTCCAAGGAAGTGCTCGAATTGGTGGTGGCCACGCTACTCAGGTGCTGATAGGCGTACTCCGGCGGAGTGCACTCGTCTGGGCTGTCCAGCAGCAGGGCGGGATTGATGTGGCCACCGAGTCCCAGACCCACACCCACTCCCAATCCCAAGCCGGGTAAATTCAAGTGGCTGAGGGCAAAGGGCAGCCGATTATTGTTGTCCGAATGGAGACTACTTGGCGGCGGTGGAGTGGCCCTGCTCTTGGCCTTCAGCTCCTCCGCCGTGGGCTCCTGCCGTTTGATCTCCAACGATCGATGATCGCCGCGCCGAAAGGAGCGACGCAGACGCTCCGCAAACTTGGACTGCTTGGGCGGCTTGTCCTTGGGCGGCTTGCTGGTGTCCTTGGACCTGCCCAGCAGATTGGTCCTCTCAGTCTTGTCCTCCTTCTCCAGGAGTTTCTCGTGCATCTCCGTCGCCGGAGTGGTGGTGGTGGGGACGTGGTCGTTTCCTGGTCGCTGGTTCCTGCTGGCTAGTGTAATCGGTGGCGCCGCAAAGCCACCACCCATTACGGCCGCCCTTCGCCGTGTTGCTTGATCCTTCTCCCACGGAGGTTGGAGGTTTTCCCCGGAATGGTGTGCTCTTTAATTTAGCTGGTCCGTGTGGTTCGTTATTCACTAATTCGTTAATTTATGAAGCGTTGATTTTCCCCAAGATACACGTCGAGATGTGTTTCCTTTTGACTAACTCTAGATGCCTTTAAAGCGATTTCGTTATAAGTAGTTTGCTTGTATTGCTTATTCTATTATTTTAACTTTCGTTGGCCTGCTGAAATGAGAGATGTGGTTCAGAAAAGTGTTGAATAGATAAAATATTAATTTTAAACTTTTTTACCAATCGAGGAGTGGGCGTTTTATCTATACAACTATTCTAGGACCTAGTTATTCTAGTTATAGCTAAAATATAATATTTTATAATGCGGTTTTGAATTCACTTATAAAGGTGTCTAAAAGTATGCTTTAAATAAAAAATAGTAATTTTTCTGAATGATTTCCTTATAATTTGGAGTTTAAAATATATTGTTGCATATTTTAAGACACATATTCTAAAGAATTTAAACCAGTGGACTTTTGCCATATTTAATGAAGCACGTATCCCCACCAAATAACCAATATTTTCCACTACATAAATATTTCAAATTCAAAACTAACTCCCCCTCGAAAAAAAGCAAGCAACAATAAGTAATGCAAATAAGCACTTTCAGAGCAAATCAATTTAGGATAATCCATTCAGTCATAATCCTCGAACCGTTATTGCCATTTTTCGCCCTTCGATTTGTGTATGCAACCTTTAAAGTTTTCGGTTGTTATGGAAATTGGGAAAACGTGTTAGCATTTCAAATGAGCGACGAGTCCGTCGTCGACGAGACGACAAGCTTGTACCCGGGCTTTGCACATAATTTTCCGAAACCGAATCCGAGTCCGGGATGCGATGCCAAGCGATTGGCAATCGATGGAAAATCCGAAAAGTTTAATCAATGTGCATATTTTGCTGTCAACCGATTGGCAAAACTGAATTAATCAGGCAGAATCGGAAACCAATTTGACGAGTCAAAGCTCAAGTCTGATGCAGTTTCACTGGAATAAAATTAATTAAAGTTGTAAATGTCGAAACTCGAGAGCTTTAATGAAATGGCCACAGCTGAAGCAACAGAAAAAATGCTTAAAATTCTCATGCCTATCAATAATATTGATGATAAATATTGACAGATTCAATATTCCGATTAGGCTTCGCTGTTCCTTTAATTTCGGCCTGTTTATTGATATTTCTGCTGCTCAGTCACGTTCTGAACTCTCGCCATAATCGTACATTTATATTCGCAACATAACTTTAAGATCTTGTTCTAGGGAGAAGACGAAGACCTTTTGGCCAAAGCGACGATAAACAATTTCTGGGCCTATTTTCCTGATTTTCGTTGGTTTTTTCTTCTTATTTTTTTTTTTTTGTTGTGAAGGGAAAGGAAAGGATGTTGGTAGGCAAGCAAACTTGGCCATAAAACGGGCCAGAAAACTTTATTGTTATTAATATTATTTGCACATAAATATAACAGTAAATAAACATGGAAAAGTGCGTATGTGGATGGAGTGTGGCACTCGCAGCTCTCTCAGTTGACAGCCAGCTTGCCCCTGGCTGTTGCAAATAAATCATTGCACACGCCTGGACGCCCCTCAAGCACGCAACGTGCCCCCAAATCCTTGGGCCCTCCAAGTGGGTTTAACCATCCAATGTGCTCAACCTACAGAACGACCAGCCAGCGGGGTGAGCCGGTGTGTTTGCCTGTGTTTAGGCCAAAATAATGTATAATTAAGCTGGGGCCAGAGAGTTCAGGCGGGCCTTTAATAAAGCCAACCATCTTTCATGCCACACACACATCGGGGGTGCTGACAGCTCAAGGGTAAAGAAGGATGTTGGGGGTGGGAAACTACATCCAGGATTGGATCGTACCTCTTTTGGTGAGGTGAGGTGTTCGAGGGGTTCTAGGGGCATCTAGCAAGTTATTTTCAATTAAGTGTTCTTAACACGTTGCCTAATCGACAGACATGTTCCCCTGGGTCCTGGCGACACCGCCTCCTAATCACATTACTGCAAAGCCAAAGGAGCCGCACAAAAGGTCGAGCAAAAAGAGTGACATGATGTGATTCCATCTACCCAAGGGATGTGATTCACTCAGGGAATTTCCCTTTGGGAGCCGTGTGCAAAGTCCCATTTCTTGCACTTCGTTTTCAAATTCCATTTGCCCAAGGACTTTGGCAACTATAATTTAAAAACCCAAATAGTATCTAAAATGTTTCTAAAAATCGTTTAAAATGTTAACCACACAACAAATTTCCAAGAATCGTTTGAATTTTAAGCTAGGAACTTCAAAACGCTGTACCAATTACCCAGAAATAAATATCTGCTCTTAAAAATAACCTATAAAAACACTTTGTAATTTAAAAGCAAACCAGCAAGAGACTTATTTAAAATTTAAATATTTAGCACCCCTTTTTAAGTGGCCTATGTTTACACCTCGGGGGTGATAACTCCCAGAATTTGGTAATAGAAAGGGCATAAACCAGCCAAGGACCCACCCTGCATAATTGCCGCCACCTCCTAAACCAATTTAAATATTCCGTGAGGACCTCGGCAGGATTCCCGGGAGTGGGTTCAAAAATACGTTGTATCACGGCAGGGCAAATCGCAGAACGTTTAAAGATAAGCGAGCATGTTGTTCGCCTCTCATTAAATTAAATTAAATGTGTGTCTTGCGATAAAATTTTATATTCAAGACCCCACTCCATGGGAGGCGGAAGGTGTGTGGAGCGGGGGCCTAAAGAGGTTGAAGGGGGTTTCATTCGGGATGTGGGTCGCCGGTCGCGAGTGAGTTCAAGGCGTTTTTCAATTTCACTGCAGCAACAAAATCCGACAAAAACAACTAGCCGCGAAGCGCCGTCATTTCCGCTGCCTGTCAGAGCAGCAACAATTTAATTTTTATTGTTATGATGTCATCAGCATAAGAACCAGGCCCGTGCCATTTGCAGCCCCCTTGCAGACCCCTGAATATTACGGAACTCAGAACTCAGACCCCAGAACTCAAACCTCAGACGCCAGACGGGCCATATCCCCCAGTAAGTTTCATTCAGGCTTCGCTGACGCACTCGGACGACGTGAACCACATACAAATTGTCAGTGTGATGGAGTCCAAGGAACCCGCTTAAATAACACAACCACTATCCGAGGACCCCGGAGGCGTCTTCCTTGGGTCCAAGAGCGATTTATGCGCGAATTGCCGTTTGCACCGACAGGATTTACTCGAACCGCTGACCAGTCATCGGTGAAATTCCAGTTGAGCTGTTCCAACACCTCAAGTACAGTCGAACTAATAAGCCATACAAAGCTTGATGGTAAAAAAAAAGTGAAAATAAAATAAAGCAAGTTTTCTTCACCAACTACAAAAATAATTTTGAATTTGTCTTTTACATGTTTTAGTCCTACTCGTATTATGAGAAATATTTTTAAGAAATACCGATTAATAATCTTAGAAAATCCATTTATTCTTAAATAAATTAAAATGGCATTTAAAAAAAGATTACTATATTTTAAAAGTTGAAAAATATAAACAATCCTTAAAAAAACTACCTTGACCAATTATACACTTTTAACTTAATTAATATTTTAAAGAAATTCCCCTTCTTGGATACTATTTTATTATTATTTGAAATTCAGACAGGATGGTCCTGGAAAAGTTCAGTATATAGAAGATAGACTGTATATAGACATCCGTAGTGATGGCATGGGCTGAGTTGGAATTATGCCCCTGGCCTGAGCACATTATTACGACGATGCCGGCTTTTATGTGGCTGTGGTAATGTAACATTTTGCTGAGCAATCAAAAGGCGCAGCAAAAGTTTCCCACTTCGATGGGCGAGGGGTGGGATGGGACGACTGCGGAGGAGGATGAACCGCATCTACCGGGCCCACCTGGCCAACTTGCAGCCGGAGTTTGATCGATAAACCAAACCAAACCGAACCGAACCGAACAAAACCAAACCCAACCAGAGCGAATCGAGGTCCCTTGCAAATTGAGGCAGCTGAATCCAGCAGAGCCCCGTGTCAGTGGCAAAGTTTAATCTTTGATGCCGGCGACACATTGGGCCCCAAATTGATTTTTAAAGTTATCAGAGAGCCGGCCTGTGATTTATGCAAAGAGCTTGGGCAACTTTTGCCGGGGTTTTGTCTTAACAAATCGGGTCAGAGTGCAGAGTGCAAAACCGAAACAAAAACACAACTCAAAGCCCCACAAAAGTGAAACAATGCCCATCCATCATTCCGCTATCATGGGGTTCTACATTGATAAACAGAGGAAACAAAGAAATTAAAAAAAGAAAAGAATTCAAATATAAATTGGGATGTTTTATATTGAACTTATAAACCTACAGTTTTAAGATAACATTTAAAAGTAAGTAATAAAAATATTTTTTTAATCATTAAATCTATCTATTAACTTCTTATTTTTCTACCTTAAAAATTCTTTAATAGTAAACCATTTTAGGAAAATAATTTTAAATTCTAAAAATTATTTTCTGCTATTAAAAAATACCGTATTATTACAATACTTTTCCCTAAGTGCACCCACTCCTCGATGATTGTCAACGGCACTTACTCACCTTGGTTGGTTCATTAATGGGACCTCTTCGATTCCGATTCCGATTCCGATTCCTATTCCGATTTTTGTTTCTTCTTTTTTCGAGTCCTCTTCCTTTTGTTGTGTCTTTGTTGCTGCTGCTTCTTCTGCCCCCCGCCGTTCATTTATTTTAGCAATTTGTTTGCCTCTCGGTTGGTTTGTTTGTTTGTTTGTTTCTTTGTTGTTTGTTTGTCTGCTGCTTGGTTGGTTTGCTCAGCCCACACACCTAAACACTCGCGTAAAGTACTTGGGCACAGTTTCTGTATCTGTATCTGTTTCAGTTTCACTTACTCTACCTGTCGAGGACCCCGTACTCCTCGCCAGCTTTCCCGTAACCCAGCTTTCGAGTCCTGCCGCAAGGAGCAACGTGCTCGGGTCGAGTACGTAAATGAGTTTATTGCCGGCAATAAGCGAACTTAATGCGCCTGCACGAGAGGCATCAATGCAATATATCATCTGGATTCGAGTCGTTACCTTGAAAGAGACAGAATACAGAACACAGGCAAGTGGTTAGTGATGAGTCGTTACTTCTATATATAGCTTAAAAGGTTTGCACCACTTGTCATATTTCATCATCGCCAAGAAGGCGAAAAAAGTTATATTGTAGAATCAAACTTTGCAACTCAAACAAACAACTCTTAGCACATAAAAGCTGGTAATTCATTTGAAGTTAAGTTTAATAAATGGTTAAATTTAAGTTTTCAATTGCTGTTCTTACTAAATATTTAATGGTGTAAAAGTTTTCTTCAGAAATTTTTAATATAATAAACATCCTTAAAAATGCTTAGATTCAATCGAGATATACCAACTAAAAACTTATCTTCCGACCCTGTCAGCAGTTGGATTTCCGTGCCCCATATCGTTTTCTTTCGAGTAAATATAAAGTCAACAAGAGTAAACACGAAGGCCCGCAGAAGCCACAGCACAATTACGGGTTACTTGGCTTGTGCTCCGTAGTTAGATTACTCATTTCACGAGCAAGGTACAAGTAGCAACGGCAATTTAAGACAGCTGCCGCCGCATTTTTTTATAGAATCTAGGGAGGATAATAAAGCTTTTAAATTCGCCAACCAACCGCCACAAAAAAAGATAACGAAGAATTTAATGTGGTAAACAAGAATATGGACTTGCACTGCAGACGATATTTTAAGAGAGCATCCTAAAATTTAGAAATATTATATGTTGGTTTGTAAACTCTCATTAATAGCAGTTAAATCGTACTTAGCTCACGTTCTATAATTCAAATTCAATTTGCAAATTTTGTAGATAAACATTTGCATATAAAACACGTTAATTAGCATGCTTCTCGATTGTATAATCGCTTACATTTAATGGCCTTTGCATTGTAATTTAAATCCATATGCTTGTCATTAATAACCCAAATTATTTACTGAGTGTTCTTAGCCTTAATTGCCTAATTTCTACCTATTTGGCTGATAATTGAATGTGTATATTACAATCCCTCGGGTTTACTTGCTCCTGTTTGTTTCAAAAAAATAAATTAAAGTCATCATTTAAGACTTAATTCCTATAAGCAAGGCGTTGGAGTGTAGTGTTTAATAGTCGAAAGAGCAAAATTCCGAGCTTTTATAGGGCATCCACAAAACCCATTCGCCTGCAAATCCCGAGGAACATCCCATGTGTCCCACCCAGAATGTTATGCAAAACAAAAATTCAATTTCAATTCAATTAATCACGCTTGATTACCACCAATAATGGCCAACGCCAGCAGCCAACAGCCAACAGACATCGGCCGAAAGGACGTCCAGATGGCAGGATTCTGACAGGAGAGACTAGAGAGCTACTAGTCCTCCGTTCTCGATTCCCCAGTGCAATCCACAATCCACAGGCACAGGCACTCTGCCTTTTGTCCTTGGCTTGCAACTGCTTCCGAAGTCGCTTTTTGTTTACCACTTTGCACATTCTGCTGTCAAATTTGTTGATTTATAGTTCCCGATGTGCCTCCAACAATGGCGGCGGGGGCGGGGGCGTGGCAGGACAAAGGGCGGAGCGGGGCTAGGAGGGCGTCCGATGACAGGCGCGCGCCAAGCAAAAGGCTCAGGGAATACCAAAAAAATCTGGCGAATGCGGTATTGTCCTGTTCTCCGAATTTAGGATACCCGGCTTGCAAATTGTAAAATTCAAGAAATCATCGAGTGGAATATTTTGTATTGAATGGTTACTAATAAACATAATTTAACATTATTATTTAAATTACTTTCAGAAAATTTAAAATATTTTATTTTAAGATAACTGGCTTTCTTCTATTAATAGCATTTTTAAGGTACAACTACTATAAAATTCAGACATATGATCCTAAAATGATAATGATGAATTATTAACTTAACCAAATAATATTAAGGTTCAAGTTATAATACAAGTTTTTTTCTGACATTTTAACGAAATACTTTCTTAGTTAATAATGCTTTCTTAATCCTATAAAGCTATATACCCCTGTGTTTTACCAGTAGCGGGTACACAAAAACAGGAAAAAATTGAAACATCGAAAGCAAAAACCGAGCCCTGCGATAAAGTCAAACTACAAAGAACACCGAGGGAAAAAAGTGTGCCAACAATTTCAATGACAATGCGACAGTTTGTTGCCAGTTGCCTTTTGTTGCGGTGATGCAGTTTTCCGGCCTGTTTTTTTCGGCCAGCTTTTGGAGCCAAACGACGGCTCGTCGAGTGCGAATTGTTTTTGGCAGAATGCGATTAGGTACCTGAAATAGTTTGCGGTTCTCTTCTCCGACTGCCAAAGCCTGTGTGGCGGCGTCTGGTCGCTGTCGATAAATCCAGTCGAGTGCACAGTGCCCAAACCGAACCAAGTCGGAAGTGTGGGGCCCGCAGAGCAAAGATTGGATCCATCTGCCCGCTGGCATACAAATGTCCGAGTGTCCTAAACAGGTCTAGCTTTTTCAGGACCCCTATTCGCCCAGGAGATCCGTCCGCAGACAACCGCAAACAAACGCCGCTCATTTGCAGGCAGTTCGCATCGACTTCTGGTTGATTCGGAGCAGTCGGGGGATGTGCCGATGTGTTTGATGAGGCCGGAGATAATCGTTTGGCAATTGAATGAGTCCCACATGTCGGATTTTGGGCCTTTTGGCCGGATGCCGAGTGGAAATTTTTTGGCAGGCCCCTTTTGCCTATGACAACCCAGCAAACAATATTTGAAAAGTTCAAGAATAGGTCAAGCAATTTAAGTTGAGAAAGGCAATAACAGGCTGTGAACTATGAAAGTTATCAAAACTGAACTTCTGAGTTTTTATTTAAGTTCACTTATTTCCATTTTCTAATTCTTATAAATGGTCCAAATATTTAAAAAGTCAGTATGGAAGCTATGTTCACTATCCACAAGTCCCCAAATATTATAAATATTTATGGATAAAGGCTATAAATAATTCCATACTAATTCCCCCATAAACAGCTTGTCCTGCTGGCAATTTGCATTGCAATAAACATATTTTAGATTAAGGAAAATTTATGTTTTTTGCAATTTATGTTTGGCAGCCCAAATGAAGTTATTTCTGTAAAATGGTTTACCATTTTGCCTATGGCAAATTGGCAACAATTAAAATGAGCAATGTATTTTTGATTGTACAGACGAAATAACACGAGAAATTATAATAAAACTGAGCAACTTTGAACACATGTTTAAAGTGTGTGATTATTAAGTGTTACTATAATTGATATAATTGATATAATTGCAAACCAAATGTTATTACTGAATTGCAATACCAAAAAACTTCTGCAATTGATTGCCAGCAAAAAGGTTGTCTGTTCTTGTATGATTTAGTATGTTTGATTTAATAGGAAGTCTTATGGGAAATATTTCCGGCTTGGTTCGCCTACATCTGGGCCACTCACAAATGTTCAAATTTGCAAATTGAATGGACCTACTTTCGAGTGGGGTTTAACCCCATTGCAATGGCCGTTATTGAAAACACACCGACCAACGCCGGAGAACGTTGACCAGACCGGATTGTGTGAGGGCAAGGGCCGGGGTTCGTCCATAAATAACGGCAAAACAGTCAGATAAATTTGCAGGAGCTATAAACAAGCTACTCCGGCGGACTCCCTGCCTCCCGCACTCCCGGCGAAATCGATTTAAATGCTCCGTTTGCGTGTTCTGTGTTCTGAGTCCGCCGGTTACCTTGAAGTCTTTATGTAATTTGTACACAGAAATAAATAAGATTGAATATTAAATTGGAATGTCTCAAACTCAATTTGATCCTCTGCAAGATAAGATGTTTTACATAAGGTTGCATGCTTTCGATTTAAGCTTACATTATTGACATCTTATCAATTTCAACTTCTATATAAATTTATTTATGCTAATTTTATTTAAAAAGAAAGGAATTTCATATATTAAAATTTAATGATAAATAGATAGTTAAACATAGTGTAAATTTTTTTTAAACTTTTATTTTAAGGCAAACGGAACTAACTACAAATTTCAGAGCTTGATCGCAGAATTTAAATCTTACTTTAACTTCAACAACCGGACGAGAAAACGGCACTTAATGTCTTAATTCCGTTAATTATTTTTCCTTCAAATTACCCATTATATAATTACAGCTTTAATTATTTCTTTGTGTGCATCGCAGTCCGGCTGTCGCATTGTGTCCCGGTTAGAGTGGCCGCCGTTAAGCGAATTTCCATGCTAAATAGCCCGACACGTGGCATCTGCCGTCCTCGACGGCCACATCCACATCCTCGGCGAGCTTCGCTTCCACCGCGTGCACCATTTTGATTGGCGTTTGATAAGCCGCAAGGACGAGCCGGAGTCCTGCGTCCCGAGTCCTGGACACCGGAACGAAAGGAGCTGCAGATAAGGACAGAGCGGACTTCATTCAGCTATTCAACCACACGATGTTTTCGATTGTTTTCGCCAGTTCCACGAAAACAACACGGACACACTTTCCATTCTCCACTTGCCGTGTGCGATGCATTGCTTTCGAACAAACAGATTTTACGGCCACTAAAGCACGGGACAGCCGCACGCAAGGATAATTACGGACTTACGGAGAACAA